CATCATTGCGTGATAGACTCCATAAAATCGAGCTTTTACACTCCCATCTTAACAACAAATTAAAACCTGCACACAGATTGAATCGCTTTAACATTAAATAGCAAGATGAGTAACCAAATACTGTATGGCAAAGCGGCTTGTAGTGTTGTGGTGCAATCCCACACTGCCCTCAACTGTTTCTTTCGACAAAGTACAACCAAGTCCTGGTGCTGGTTATCACATTGAACACGTATACTAAATGCCTCAAATTTCACTGCATAAAGCTAAATGTAATAGAGGTTTTAAGCCTTACTTTGGCATGGAAGGATGTTAGTAACTATTCTGATCCATAGCCGAATGAAAAGGTAGAATGTGTGGAGCTGATCTGGTGACATTTATTTGATAACAATATAATTTTAACGGTGGGCAATTGAATATTAAAACGCTACAGTTTGAAATATGGTAGCATGTATTTTCATTCTCCATCGAATAGATGTTGCAATAGATCGATATGGATTCAGTGAGAGTACAATCTGATAAAAAAAATCCTCCAATATTCTTCACTGAGGCAGTTGTACCAAGCAACCAGGAAGGAACTTGAGGGGCGACTGCCTCTTCTTCTCATTCCTTGCTGCATATGTATTTATCTTGGAGTCCTGAGTGTAGCATATGGATTATCGGACTCGCCTCGCAAATAAGAGAACCAGGGCTTAATTTCCAGGCGTGCCAAAACCTTAGGCAAGTTTCCTTACTCCACACGCTGTTTACCTAGCAGTAAGTAGGAACTCGGTTGTTAGTTGATGGTCAGATTGCTCTCTGGGAGTAATCATGCCTTAAAACAAAATTATAATTTGGTTATTCAATCCACGACTGTTTGTGGGACATTGTTGTGTGCAATTGGCTGTGCGTTTCGCCCACATAATACGCAGTCAATTCACTTCACAGTATATTCTGTGAAGTGCTTTGAGAGGTTTAAATCACGTGATAACACGCTATATTAAAGGCAAGGATTACTATTACTATCTTAACCCTAATTTAAGCGGAAACGTAGACATATTCCTTAAGGAACAGCAGATCAGCGGGTGGTAGTGTAAAATTCTACCTGGCTCTAGATTTACTCTGTTTAATGCAACCTTTCAGAGCATCTAGAACTTGCTAAATTCTTAAAGATCATCTTCAAGGTTGAGACTGAATGCAACAATTTGCCAAATTCTGCACATTCTGCTGTGTTAATCGAGTAAATCTGATCCCCGGTGGAATTTCTACCCTTGGGAGCTTAATGTGCCAACCTGGCAGAGAATTGACTAAACTGGTTGCAGCTGAGAGCATCAGATTGGAAGATTGTGTAGTTTAGAAATTAAAACATATTTACTTTTTTGGAGCCTCTTGTCCATATACATTTAGCCACATGAGGCGGACAGTTATGATGCAAGATTCTGCAATCAATGTTTACCTTCAAACACGGTTAACCGATGTTTGTTTACAGAAATTCCATGTGCGACCGCAGTTCATTTAATATGCCAAATGCAAATTTCTATTTTCTGTCTAGCCTATTGTAGTCATTTCCCCTTCAGGCATGTTTTGTGGGCAAATTCCTGTGAGATTAACGTTATGTAATTTAGTCCTATTGCTGCCCAAATTACATATATCCATGTGTTATCTGACTAGACATGCCCATTAATAACTTATGTTTGACTTCCCAACAAGACAGACCAATTTAAAATCAAGATAACAAAGTATATTCTTACCCACCGCACTTCAAAGTACCTCAAAAATTATCAACAAACATGAATACTAATTTGAAATACAAACTCCTAGGAATGGAGGAGGATTTAAGGAATTACTGTTACCATTGCATCCTTGGCTTTTCAAAATTACATTGTGAAATGCTTATTTCAGCTCTGAATTCTCACCGTATAACCATGGATTTATACGTGTGCAGAGCTGTGTTTTCCAACAAAACACACCAAACACTTGTGCCACTTAATGCAATTATCCGATTCTTGCCATATCACTTGATGCCTCATACTTTTATTCAGCTGAAAATAATGTAACGTTTCACCCAAAAGAGCAAACAAAGAGAAGAAAAGGCTTGAGGAATGCAGAACAAAAAGTGAGCATGCTAAATTGCAGGTGAAAGAATCTAGACGATGAAATCTGGCCTTCCTTCTGCAGCTGGTTCCTTCTGAGGTGCATATGTAGGGCTTGTGGTGATGCATATCCAGTTATCTCCTTTAATAGAGAATTACAAAATGGGTGATAGACAACAGCCTGTTTGGTAAGCCTCTGTCTCTGACATAACGTGCCTCTATAAGACCCATAGCTTATCCTACCTGGGGCCTCATGGTCTTGGACATCACCATCACCGACAAAGCCCTCTCAACTCCTCCATCCGCCTCCCTGCCACCCAACCCACCTCCATCTCCAACCCCTCACTGGAAAAAAATCTCCACACCCCCACACTCCCTCTTCCCGCTTTGTCCTCACTTTCCACCCCACCAGGTTCCAGTGCTGGACAGAATATAAATCCTTCACCCTCAAGATTTGTCATCTTGTTGAGTTATGCTAATTGTTTTGCAAATATAGCTAATTATCATGCAACCAAACCAGTCTTCACGAGTGCACATAACAGACTTGGTGAGAAACTAATGTGTAAGAACTTTGCAAGAAACTGAAATAATGTCCTATGGCAGCACACTGTCTGAGTCCATTAGTATTTAATACAACACGGGGTAGTGTCTTAGAGCATTTGATATAGCGCCTTATTACGTTGTCGAGACGACTCAAAGTGCTTCACAGGATATACTATAAAGTGGATTGAATGATTATTTTGTGGTGAAACGCGGCAGGTAATTGTGCACAGCGGTGTACCAGATAGACATGGAGTGAGTGACCGATTTTAGTTGTGGGATTTCTTGTCGAGGACACCGGGAGAAACTCCCTTTTCTTTTCGAATAGTGTGATGGGATCTTTAACTTCCACATTTCATCCGAAATAGGGCACCTCTCTTGTGATTAGGTCCTAGAAAAGAGCATTTGAGTTTATTTGAAAAAATACTGGTAAATATTATAAAGCTTTCACCACTCCACCACACACAAAGGCCATGTGGATGAAACTGCAGGCATTAAACGCAGCAAGTTATAGCAAGTGGCTTTATGTCTTCCCTCCCTCCCCAAACCTCAGCGTAGCTGTAAAAATTGTTTGGTGAATCATTCTGCACCATCCTAATAAACACTTTGATATCCAGTAGAGACTCGAGTCTCATTAAAGGCGATCTGGGGAAAGCTTAGGCAATGTTTTTGCAAGTGAAATTGCATTTACAATTTCATTTTCTGGGCCAACGATATAAAAACTAGCGCTAAAGGGCACAATGAATATTTAGATCATCCTCGGTTAAAAAACAGCAGGTGGCCCTGCTGCAATCAGTGAGAAGCAACTTTCCCCAAACTCTATTCCTCCAGCGCACACTTCACACCTTAGAGGGAGCTCACCTCATTTATCTTGCCATGCTGTCACCCGGAAACTGCTAGCAGCGCTGCAGGGCTAATGAAGCATCTGCTGAGAACCCTTTGATGGGAGTCTTTGTAGATGGTTCTGGCCTTAACTCTTGTAGTACCGTAGTTAATCTGCTATAATTCAACCGAGATATCAAGCTCACGATCTGAGTTTTTTTCCAGCAATTCACACTTGCGCAGTGCATTTGGCGCAGAATGTCTCAAGAGTGAGAGCCTGAGCTGGAAGATGACTGCGGAGAGGTTGTGGAGGGATAGGTTTTTAGATGGGTTTTGAAAGCAGAGGGAGGAAAGGAGGTGGAGAGATTTTGAAAGACAGTTCCATGGAGCAAGCGGCAAACACTGATGAAGTGAATGATTCATTTTATTTGGGGAAGTGTTGCCCGGGATGAGAAACTTCTCATTTCTAATAGTGCCATGGGATCTTTTAACGTCTACCTGAACAGACAGTACTCAATAAATAATACCTTATCTGAAGAATGGCACTTCTGAGAAGCAACGTCACCCCAACATTGCAATGAAGCATCAGTCTAGAATACGAGCTCAATGTCCCAAACGTGGGGCTTAAATCTGACCAGGCAGACGGGACCTCTTTTTACACCTTTAATAACCTATCATCCCGTCCTCTGCCCCATTTTCTCCTGTTTTCCTTGCCCTGCCTCCCCACTTACTGTTAGCCCTTAAAAGCCTCTCCCTCCCAACGTGCCCCAGTTCTGACGAAGGGTCGTGGACCCGAAACGGTGACTCACTTTCCTTTCTCCATAGATGCTGCCTGACCTGCCGAGTGTTCCTAGCGACTGTTGTTTTCGTTTCTGGACCTCAGTTTGACATTTTTTTATTGAATATGATGCAAGATTAGCACAGATCCACCCATCCAGTATCGGGTCAGTTCATCATTACTTGACCAAGTTGATCTGGTCTAGTTATTTGAGGAGTTTGAGATCAGTTGAATCTCAATTGCAAAGTACAGACTTTTAATAATGACTAAAAACACAATGCATTGTAAGAGCGCAGTACAAATCCCAGGGTCTTTTTCATGATTTAGATAGGCAGTCACGTTTGAGTTTCCATGCACTTGGCTGGTCGTTTCTTTTTGATCAGCACTTGAAGTGTCAATATCACCAAAGCTACATTTGAAAAATAACTGAATAATCCACAGCCTCTCTGCCCCCACCCTTTGAAACCCCACCCCACAGATCCTTTGCCTAGCTCCTTCCCTTGCTTCCTTCAAGACCCTCTTCCTCAATTGCACCTTCGGTCACTCTCCTATCCCTACCTGCCCTCCACCCTTCCTGATCCCAACCCCCAGCTCAGGTCCAAACCGCTGACTGTCCAGAGCCTTTGGGCATCCTCCCGACGTGAAAGGCATAATACACGTGTAATGTGTTATTGTTGAATCTCATCATTGGGAGAAAATTCTTTTTGTGCATCATTTAGCAAAAAACAACTTGGTTGACAAAATTGTTTTTGAATGTCATCATGATGTTAAAAAAAAACTCAGGAAGGTGATTTATTTCACCGTTTTAAAAAAATATTTTATTGAGCAATTCAATTTTACAAAGCTTCTGAAAGTGCATTAAGAAGAAAAGGTATTAAATACAAGAAATATTACATACAATCTACAAACAAGGCTTTTTGGCATCTTCAGTATCGCTGGCAGATCTCTTCCTTGAAACCAGAGAAGCTCATATATTCAAATTAAAATTCAGTCGCAGAATCCAATTGACTGCGATTCTCTTTGAGGGGACTTAATGGCTAGAAATGGGGCAGGCAGAGGAGAAGAGAGGGAGAAAATAAATCTAATGAAGAGCTAATGAGCATTCGCCATGTTGTTAAGAGCAGGTGTAGGAAAGCAAAATCCCAAATTCTTCCCAAGGCCCAAACATACCTCATCCTTTTTAGTTTGCGTTGCATGCTTTAATGTCCATTGTTTTGCATTTTCAATGAAAGACTGCTTATTGTATTTGAATTCTGCTGACTGAAAAATATAGAAAAGATTATAGAGTTGGTAGTTAGCTGACAGAGTACAGCAAATATGCTGTACACCAGGACATTTCAAACATTTCAAACTCTTTGAACTATGTAATTGGATAAACATAATCTTGACCTTTTCCTTCTGTGCTATACGAATATAGGGTGAATCATAGTTTTTAGTCGTTAATTATGTTTTTTAAGACAACATTGTTAAGAGATTGTGCAACTCTTACAGGAGATGTCTTTCATCAAGTTTGTGAACGTTTGTTACCGAGTTGATATGTGTAAATGACATGTAGTTTGAACATCTCAGATAGACCTATGAGTAAGGAGTTTTGATTTACTCTGTATTACGGATGAGGGACAGGGGAAAACAATCAACTATTCTAGTGATTTACATTAGTCTGATTTTTCAGAATATCTCTAGCCTAGGTGGTGGTTGATCTTATTCAACTAGAATCAGTAAAATAACTCTTCACACCTCACATTAAACAAGTACACATTCAACTACACTTGCTTCCACAATATAAATGATTTCTCATATATTCAAATTAAAATCCAAGTTTAATGAAGGAGGAATGTTTTCGCTGACCAGAATAGAATCTAATACAACCTCGAGCATTGAAAAAGCTTGTAATTTGCAATAATGCTGAACGTTGTACAATTCTTCCAATGAAAAGAGTTCAAAAATGGATTCCTAATATATTTGACCAACAGTGGAGCTTTTTTTTAAAAAAATCAGAAAAAATTCATCTGCATGTATGCAGTTTTTTTTTGCTGATTTAGGGAGACTCAAAACGCAACCATTTTAAAAAAAATCCGATAAGCGGTCAAATTGAAGAATTAACAGAATTTAGATCTGATTAACATTTTATCAAGAGCACATTGATTTACAACATTATATAGTGGGTATACTAATCAACACTAATATTTGTGCCAACAAGAATCTTTCACGAACAGGTCTGTTCACGATTGCAGTGGAGTTTTAGACATTAAAGGCCCTCTGAGATATAAAGCTGAAGCACCCTCCAGTGGTAGGAACCTTGCTTTGCTACTGTACCACTCAAAAGGCACGCAATATTTTTGGACCAATGATCCTGTAAAATGAAATTGCATTGTCCTGGACCTTGCCCACCCAAGGTTAAGATTTATTTGCTGAATAAAATGCTATGTTTATTTTGAAACCGTCAATGGCTAATTTCATGCCGTAAGTTAAGTACAGCTATATCCTTCCTGGTGGCAAGATATCCTACTTCTCTCAGCGACCGGCAATGATTTATCTTCTTGGTACAAATTCTAACATGAAATATCTGGAATGTACCTCAGAGCCAGCCATAAGTCTCGTTGCCCATATTCCTGGTTTAACAAAGAATAATAAACCTTGCATTTGATACAGTGCTGTTTGCGTGGCAGAGCATTTTAAAGCGCTTCACAGGATTCACGGTAAAGTGCCCGGTTTTTTTTGGTTTCTCTAAACAATTCCAGCTTTTAAAATATCAACTCACTATGTCAGCCATGAGGGGATCATCTGGATTGGGTTCCGACATCAACAATTGAATGGAGGTTAACACAGTAGAGATACTGAGAGATGGCTTCCAGGCTCCCTGTAGAAGAATAAAATTAGCATTTTAATGCATAACTAATTCGAGCATTTAGCACTTCCAAGACCAACTTTACAATAAAACATTTTTTCCAAGTATTAAGTACACTAATCGCCTAACACTTAAGTGTTTTAAGAAACTAAATTTTTTTCCGGGCATAATAATCTCAGTTGTCCTTCATTTTAAGACGGGAATCTCCTCAATATCCAAATAATTGCAAGTATAATAGTTTGGTAATTTCAAAAAGATTTCACTCACTTCTAATTCTGCTTGTATTGTATTCTAATTGGCTGCCGCGTTTTGCCCACAAATATACAGTCAATTCACCTTACAGTATATTCTGTGAAGCGCTTTGAGATATATAGAAAACATGAAAAGCGCTATATCAAATGCAAGGATTATTATTATTATTTTTATTATTGTAAATTCAGCTGGACAAGGAATGAGAAAGCATGCCAAACAGTGCTATCGCTCACAAAATCTATTCAATTCACTTTACAGTATATTCTGTGAAGCTCTTTGAGACGTCTCGAAGACGAGATAAGGCGCTGCATCAAATACAAGCATCATTATTATTATTATTATTATGAATGGCAAGCTGTGTTGTTTTAGTTGGTTAGATTCCAGCAGTCATCCCAGCTCACACTCAGGGGTCCCCAAGCCTTGGCTCCTGACAACTTGCGAATAATACTTCCCGGCATTAGGTAAGCAGGATCCGATCCTCCAGGGAGAGAGTGCGTATCACATTCCAACAATCTACCTCTGGGATCTACATGTGCATGGGATGCATGGAATTCTCAGCTTGGTTTGGATATGGTGATGGGTTTCCGCATGTGTCAAGACACCCGGCTGACCCACCCAAAAAATGATCCAGCTAAGAGGCTGGATTACTTTGTGAAGTACTCTTAACTTTCTGTGCATTTGTTTAAATATTGATCGGAAGCCTAGCGCTAAGTGCCTTTGTTTTAAAATCAATTCAGAAGATTACCTTTGGAGGCATTTTCAAAATGTCCAGGCAGATCCTTCCTGCTGTATCAATGTTCGGATGATAGATAGGAGTAAGAAAGCGCACTTTTGGAGGTTCAAATGGATACCTTACAGGACAATTAAAACTATTAATCACATTTTACGATTCGCGAAGAATTAACACTATGCAAAAACAATGGAAACATTGAACTTACGAAATAGTATGAAGACAACAGTAAAAAAAATTCTCTACTAGTACCTTTCAGGAAGAATAATTTCAAGACTAAAAATCCCACTTTCATAGGGTGAGTCAACGAGTCCTAAAATCTCTAGAGGGAAAGATTGCAAACTGTTAAAATATACTTTCTGGCTTGAAAGCCAGAAATGTAAAGACAGATTGCAGCATGCCACAAAATCACTATAACCCCATGCCCTGCAGTTTTGCCCAGCTGTAACAAGACAGGTTTAATAAAGTCTGCGTACATCTACATCAATGGTAGAGTTCTCTGAACAACGGTAAATTTCCTGACCTCGACAGACAAGAGTATTCTATTCTTCATAGGTCAGTAAATTTTACTGTATGAGGCGATAAAATCCTACCAAATGGGTTGCCCAAAGCTAATCTACTTTCAAACGCTTGAGAGTAGATGCTGATTTCATTGGTCTAAGGAGGATTCAAACTCAGGTTTCAGAAGAGATTGTTTAACCAGCTATTACACCAGACTCGCTAGTCGATTCTCGGGTCCAAATCACTGACTGTCTAGCGCCTTGGGACATACTCCTGACGTGAAAGGCGCTATACAAATGTAATTTTGGATTGTATTCTAAACATTTCTTAAAAAAAAACAAAGACAGTGAATTGGAAAAAAGATCCAGTAGTAGTCCCAGAATGTTAGTTGTGCGAAAGATAATATGCAATAAACATTGGAACTTGAAATGATTGCGGCTCTCCTAAACATAACGAGTCCGCTCGAAAGATTACAAACGTACGTGCTCGCAAATCATCCATCTGGTTATCTTGCCAACAAGAGATTCCAGGCGGGGGTTCATTCGTCAAAAGCTGCAACTCTTTTTTCAACCTTGAAGCTCTCTGCATTGTTGTAGATTTATTCTGCAAGGTACACACAAAACACAAGCCGCTGCAGCTTAAGGGAAGGTGGGGGGTGAACATCAACCAACGTTCTCACGCGCGATTGCAACTCATCCTTCAAATTTGCTCGAACTGATGACGTCTGCGGGACTTTATCAGAACTCTTGCATTTCGTGCAGCGCCTTTCACGTCAGGAGGACGTCTCGGAGCACTTCACAGGACACCAGGTAAAGTGTTGTGACGGCCCCACAAACAGCCATTGAAGTAAAGGCCCACTTTTATTTGGGGGGATTGTTGGCCAAGACACCGGGTGAGAAGCACTGAATTGGGAGAATCGGCCTAGACTATGAATGGGTACAAAGCTTCGATGTGAAGCCTGAACCCACAACCTTCTGCCTCAGAGGCGAGAGTGCGACCAACTGAGCCAGGCCAACTGAGAGCGAGACCAACTGAGCCAGGCCAACTGAGAGCGAGACCAACTGAGCCAGGCCAACTGAGAGCGAGACCAACTGAGCCAGGCCAACTGAGAGCGAGACGTACTGAGCCAGGCCAACTGAGAGCGAGACCAACTGAGCCAGGCCAACTGAGAGCGAGACGTACTGAGCCAGGCCAACTGAGAGCGAGACCAACTGAGCCAGGCCAACTGAGAGCGAGACCTACTGAGCCAGGCCAACTGAGAGCGAGACCAACTGAGCCAGGCCAACTGAGAGCGAGACCTACTGAGCCAGGCCAACTGAGAGCGAGACGTACTGAGCCAGGCCAACTGAGAGCGAGACGTACTGAGCCAGGCCAACTGAGAGCGAGACCAACTGAGCCAGGCCAACTGAGAGCGAGACGTACTGAGCCAGGCCAACTGAGAGCGAGACCTACTGAGCCAGGCCAACTGAGAGCGAGACCTACTGAGCCAGGCCAACTGAGAGCGAGACCTACTGAGCCAGGCCAACTGAGAGCGAGACCAACAAGAAGGTTCACGCAGCAACCGCCATCCTGGGGCTGAAAGATCAGGAGTGATTCACACTCTCCAGGTTACACCAAACACTCACCATCCCCCAATCCGTCACTCTCTCACTGCCCCCCCCCCCCCAGCCAGTCACTCCCCCCCCCAGTCACTCTCTCCCCCCCCCCGTCACTCCCCCCCGCAGCCAGTCACTCTCCCCCCCCCCAGCCAGTCACTCTCCCCCAGTCACTCTCTCCCCCCCCCCGTCACTCCCCCCCGCAGCAGTCACTCTCCCCCCCCGCAGCCAGTCACTCCCCCCCCCCCCAGCCAGTCACTCCCCCCCCCCCCCAGCCAGTCACTACCCCCCCCAGTCACTCTCTCCCCCCCCCCCGTCACTCCCCCCAGCTAGTCCCCCCCCGGGGGTCTCTCTGTCCCCCCCCCGGGGGTCTCTCTGTCCCCCCCCCGGGGGTCTCTCTGTCCCCCCCCCCCCCGGGGGTCTCTCTGTCCCCCCCCGGGGGTCTCTCTGTCCCCCCCCCCCCCCCCCGGGGTCTCTCTGTCCTCTCGCGGTTACTCACTCTCTCTGCGGTGTCTCTCTTTCCCGCGCTCTCGCGGTCGCGGCTCCTGATCTCGCGAGATTCCGGCCCGAGAGAGGGGGAGGGGGGGAGAGGGGAGGGGGTGTGGGGAGGAGAGGGGGGAGGGGGTGGGGGAGAGAGGGGGAGAGGGGGTGGGGGAGAGAGGGGGAGAGGGGGTGTGGGAGAGGGGGAGAGGGAGAGGGGGAGGGGAAGAGTAGAGAGGAAGGGGAGAGAGGGTGGGAGATGGGGGGGGGAGAGGGGAAGGGGGGAGGGTGTGTGTGTGTGTGGGGGGGGGTGAGGGGGAGAGTAGAGGGGGGGGGAGGGGAAGGGGAGAGAGGGTTTGGGATGGGGGGAGAGAGGAGAGGGGGAGAGTGAGTGAGAGTGTGTGTGTGTGTGTGTGGGGGGTGGGGGTTGGGGGGGGGGGGAGCATGAGGAGGTGAGTCAGCACCAGAGGCTTTTCCATGGAGTGTCATTGCCACCCGGTTGAGGATAATAATAGTAATAGTAATAATAATCCTTGTACTTGATGCAGCGCCTCGTCACGTCTTCGCGACGTCTCAAAGCGCTTCACGGAATACACCGCAAAGTGAATCAACGGCGTATGTTGTGGGCGAAGCGCGGCAGCCGATTGCGCGCGCAGCAGCGCGTCCCGCCCACCGACAGTCGTGCGATTGAAGCGACCAAATGATTACTGACGCCCCAAAATGAAAGGGAACAAGACGGGGTGGGGGGGTGGGTGGGGGGGGGGAAGAGGGGATCATAAGCTTAGATTCTGAACGGAAAACGCTCTGAGGCGCTGCCCTGTCCTACGTGAAGGGCGCTACGTAAATGATACATCGGAGACAACTCAACATCCCCTCCCCCCCCCCCCCCCCCCACGCTCAAATATCGCACCAAACTCAGCTGGGCGGGGGCTTTATTCGTTAAACATCAAGGGCTCGGGCGAAGACGTACAACGGGCTATATTGGAAACGTACACTCTGGTAATAAAGAGATCTTTGGTTCAATCCCTCTGCCTTACCACCACCTTGCCCGTCTTCAGATCGCGCCCAAAGACCTTCCTCTTCGAGGGTGCCCACGGTCACCTCGCCCCAGCCTGCGGTGGAGTGAGGCCAATGTATGAATGTAAGTTGTTGTTGTTGTGTTCGCCCTCGGTGCTGCTGGTGGGTCTGAGCAGATGCAGCGCACCACAGAGTGGGGAGAATTTGGATTTATAACAATAATAACAATACATGCATACATTTCAAAGTGCTTCACAAGATTTCCCGTAAAGTGCAGTAAGTATATCTTCTTGGCGCGATGCGTTAGTTAATTCTACACACATCAATGTCACACAAACAGCCATGAAGTAAATGACCGATCTTACGGGGTGGGGTTGGTGGTGGGGGAGATTGTTGGGCAAGAAAAGAGGAGAAACTTTTGAAATGGTGCCATGAGATCTTTAGCATCCACTTGAACAGGCGGACGGGACCTTGGTTTAACATCTCATCCAAAGGACGGCACCTCCCAACAATATTGATATAGATATTGCTGTCTGGAGTGTCAGCCTAGACACAGAGTCCCTGTGTGGGGCAATATACAGCTACGTTTATATAACGGGCGAGTTCCCTATCTGAACTCAATGATCTCAAGGATATGCCAAGCAGAGGCATACGGATAGAGGAAATTGTAAGGTAATATGAAGCTCAGTGGTTAGAGCACTCGCCTCGAATGTGAGAGACCTGGGTTCGATTCCCGGCAGGGCGAAATGTTGGGCAAGTTTCCTTACTCCACACGCCTGATAATAAACCCTCAAGAAGAAAAAAATAATAAATTGGTCACTTCAATCCACGACTGTTTGTGGGACACTGCTGTGCGCAATTGGCTGCCGCGTCAAGAAGATGTGAAAAGCACTATATCAAATGCAAGGATTATTATTATTTATTATTCATTTCTCAGATCTCTTGCACACCTTGGGGACTTTTTTTATCAGGGAGCAAATTGGTGCGTACAATAGTTTGCAACAGTTGATTGTTGTGCCGTTGGAAAACAACAGGCGCATACGTTTAGATTTCCAATAATTTGTGAGATTTAAATTTCTTGAGATTTATTGCATAAATCATATAAATGTGATATCAAAATACAATTTCAGCTGATATTGGTGAACTGCAGAAAACCATATTAGCATACATCTTAGTTGAAAACACAGTATAATAATAATAATTATCCTTGCATTTGATAAAGCACTTTTCACGTCTTCTCGACGTCTCAAAGCGCTTCACAGAATATACTGTAAAGTGAATTTATAAATACATCATGGTGAGATATGTATGTCAAATTTAGTATTTAGGCCCATAAAATTGTCCCTGCTTACAGATATTTATTGCATCAAATACTTGACCACGGCATATAATCTTTATTGTAAAGCATTTTAATAATATTATAAATGATACTTATTCTACTCATTTTGCCTTATCTGTAGGAAATAAGATTCAAGGAAAAGATACTGTGCAGGTGTAAAATATAATGCATTTATATTACGCTTTATTAGTGTTTGGTGCAAATCTTCCCTTGAGTTAAAGAAGTAAAACGTGAATTCTGATATGACAGCTTATCACACTGAAGCATCACAAACACAATGAGTTACTTTGAGTGTAGCAAGTCTTACGTCGATAAACATGACCAGCAATCTGCGCCAACAATGAGATGAATAACCAAATGCTGTTCCTTCAAACAATGTATGAGATCATTAAAGGTCCATGTTGCAAACTGGGTGTTCCTCTTCTCGAGCAGATAATATTAGGTTGGGGGGGATAGGAAGCATTAACCAAAGACCAGCTATTATTTCGTGAAAATAGCCAAGAGTATATTAATATTCATATACTATTTAAAAAAACTCACCTGCTTCTAAAACTGCCGCTGAGATTACTAATAGCAGCACAGACAGCACCAAATCATCAAGTCCAACAGAAAAGTCAAGGGCAACTTCCAGTTACTTTCTTGAGCAACCCAGATTTAGATATAAAACAACAATAAATTACATTTGTATAAGCACCCTTCACACGGGGAGGACGTCCCAAGGCGCTGGACAGTCAGAGATTTGGACCCGAGCAGGGGGTTGGGATCAGGAGGGGTGGAGGGCAGGGAGTGTAGAGGCAGGAGGGTGACCGAAGGTGTGGTCGAACAAGAGGGTCTTGAGTGCCTTGAAGGAGGCAAGGAAGGGAGCGAGGCGAAGGGATTGTGAGATGGAGTGCCACAGGGTGGGGGCGGAGGCTGAAGGCCCAACTGCCGATAGTGGGGCTTGGCCAGGCGGGGAACATGGAGTTCTCATTCCATTTTGGAAACATTTCACTGCGAAGAAAGTGACAAGTTGTTTACTCTCCTGTCTGTACTTTTAATAGTTCTTTAATCCATATGAACCACTATGAAAGTAACTGGCTTGCACTTTCTCAGTGACACATTGTTGATTGCATATTGCTGTTCAGCACGAAATGCTATTGGACAAAATCAGGCCAAGATGCTAATATGCTTCTTCCTGAAATAAGCGAAGATAAATAGATCACAATGGTCCCAATTTGTATCGCACCTTCACAGCAGAGTGACTTCAACCAAGCTAATGGCAGGACATCCTTGTTTACCTTTATGAAGGGCTGAATGCCAACAAGATAGGCTTGTGATGTTGATGTCATCTCATTTATTTTTAACTTGTTACCCAATTGTTCCCAGTCACACTACTCAAGTCACTTTCTGCCACTGTTTACACTGTTCTGGTTTTATTCATAGTGGGAGAGGGGGGAGCATTCCTCCTCTAAGGACATCAGCTATTGAGTTGGTACAACATGTAAGATTATGTTCCTATACAGTTAATTCCACAGTATTGATTTCTGAGTTGAATCCGTACCGTATTCATACCTAGAATAAAAGTTTACAGTAAATTGGTGCAACGGTCACATATCTTGTAAAATCAAAGCATTGAATCAAATTTTAAAACTGCCCGTTTGACAAAATAAGTCACTTTAATTCAATTAGCTTACATGAGCCATAAGGCATTTATACTATAGGGGAGAAAATATTTGGGAGCCTTTGTTTTGAGGTTCAAGAAGCTCTAAATACACTACCGAAAATATTGGCAAATATAATTTCAATTATCTGTCCCTTGGATGAGACAATAGAGTGATGTCCTGCCTCCCTTGACACTATTTGAAAAGAGAGGGAAGTTTCTCCTGGTTCCCTGGTCAACAATCCTCCGGATAAAATTGGTCATTCACTCCATGGCTGTTTGTGGGAGACTGATGTGTGCAATTTGGCTGCCGTTATCACCTACAAAATACACTTTACAGCAAATCCCGTGAAGCACTTTGAATCGTACTCCCGATTTGAAATGCAAAGAGAATTATGAAAAACGTAATTTATTAAATTGCTAATGTCACTAAAAGCGTGAAATGTATTACGATTATTTTATATATTACGCATTTATAGATTTTAGATGTAATCAATAAAAATACTCCCAAGGGCTATTCTCCTAACATATAATTGATCTTTTTATATATTTTATGCTTTTACGGTTTACGTGCTTGTGATCAGAATAATCCTTGCGTTTGTGATAGCGCCTGATCACGTCTTCAAGACGTCTCTGAGCGCTCCACGCAGTGTACCGCAGAGTGAAACGACCGCGTATATTTTGTGTCGGCGAAACCCGGCAGCCGATTGCGCTCGGCGGTGCCCCGCAAACAGTTACGTGGCTCGAAGCGACCAGTTTATTATTATTATTATTATTAATAATCAGCGGAGAGAGAAAGAGAGAGACACCGAAAATGGGTCAAGCCAAGAGCCAAGAGGCCAACATCTCCCCCTCCCCCTCCCCACCCCCACCACTCCAAAAAAAAATCCTCCTGGAGGCTGAGTGAGAGTGGTAGTGGCGTCCTCCAGGACTGAAGGTGGCGCTGTCGAGGGCGGCGAGAGACGGAGACGGAGCGACAGAGCGGTGTGGAGCAGGGGAGCGGGTGCCGAGGGGCTACTCTTGGCCAGTGTTTCAGGGAAGGGAGACGGAGAGAGAGATAGAGCGCGCGCGCGGGGGCTTCGTGTGGCGCCTCTCAGTCAGTGCGGTCCAAGTCCAGTCAGTCGGTCCAGTCAGTCAGGTCAGGTCCGGTGGGTGGTGGAGGCTCTGTGTGTGGGTGTGTGTGTGGGTGTGTGTGTGGGGGTCGGTAGGGCCTCGAGAGCGTAAACACCACCGTCCTCCCCTCCCCCACCCACTCACTCACCCCCTTTCACATCACATACACCCCGCATCGTCCCCCTCACCCCCACCTCCCCCCCCCACCCCCACCCCTTCTTTAGAGGAAGGCGGTTTTGTTTGTGTTTTTGTTTAAACTTCTTCCGTCTTATCTATTTATCTCTCTATCTCTTTATTTATCTCTATCTCTCTATTTATCTCTCTCTCTATTTATCTCTCTATCTATTTATCTCTCTCTCTCTTATCTATTTATCTCTCTCTGTCTTATCTATTTATCTCTCTATCTCTATATTTATTTATTCATTTTGTAAAAAAAAGATTTTGAAGCCGACGACACTGAACAGAGTCAGTCACAGAGAGAGACAGTCAGTCAGAGAGAGACAGTCAGTCAGAGAGAGAGAGAGACAGTCACAGAGAGAGAGACAGTCAGTCACAGAGAGAGACAGTCAGTCAGAGACAGTCAGTCAGAGAGAGAGAGACAGTCAGAGAGAGAGAGAGAGAGAGACAGTCACTACACAGAGAGAGAGAGAGAGAGAGACAGTCACTACACCAGAGAGAGAGAGAGAGAGACAGTCACTACACCAGAGAGAGAGAGAGAGACAGTCAGTCACAGAGAGAGAGAGACAGACAGTCAGTCACAGAGAGAGACAGTCAGTCAGTCAGAGAGAGAGACAGACAGTCAGTCAGTCAGGCCCCCCGGACACCCTCTCGGCCCCCCGCCATGCTCGCCCTCTTCAACAAGCTGCTGGACTGGTTCAAGTCTCTCTTCTGGAAGGAGGAGATGGAGCTGACGCTGGTCGGGCTGCAGTACTCGGGCAAGACCACCTTCGTCAACGTGATAGCGGTACAGTAGCACAGGCCCCGAGCCCGCCAGCCCCCCGCCAGGCCTCCTCCCGCCAGGCCTCCCCCCCCCCGCCAGGCCTCCCCCCCCCGTCAGGCTCCGGCCAGGTCTCCTCCCCAGGCCTCCCCCCTCCCTCACACACACACACTCTCTCTCGTGACGCCCTCCTTTCCTTTCCCTCTCACTCATCCTCTCCCCATTCTCTCTCTCACTCATCCTCTCTCCTTCTCCACACCCTCATTCCCTCTCTTCTCTCTCACACACACACACACACACGCACGGTCTCTCTCTCTCTCTCTACCACCCTCCCTCTCTCTAACACCCTCTCGCTCTCCTTCCCTCTCTCATTCTCTCTCCTTCCCTGTCTCACCCACTCATCCTTCCCTCTCTCACTCATCCTCTTCTTCCCTCTCACTCGTCCTCACTTCCCTCTCTCATTCACTCTCCTTCCCCTCTCTCACTTACTTCCCTTTCTTCTCACTCACCCTCTCCCCTTCCCTCTCCGACTCACACAAGGTCTCTCAATTTCTTTCTCCCTCTCACCTTCTCATCCTTGTCTCACATCCTCGCCCTCTCCCACCCTTCTCTCTCTCTCTCTCTCTCCCCCTCCCCTCACTCATACCCTCTTTCGATATCTCTCTCACACACCCTGTGTGTTTCTCTCTCTCTCTCTTCCTCTCACACACTCATCCTCTCTCTCTCACACAAAGGAAAGGCCCCACACCCCCCCCCAGTTATATACACACACACACACACACAGTTGGCAAATCGTTCACACACGTCCTTCCATTTCAAGGCTTACATCTCCTCCACACCATCATCGTCATCATCATCATCATCATCATTATTATTATTATCATGATCATTATTACTTATGTTTTTCAATTATTTTTTCGTAACCCCAGACAGTATCCTGGCTTTGTTTGATCCGCGTTTCATTTTCTGGTATTCCCATCGATCGCCAATTCATTTTGTGTTTTGTTTCTGTATATAAATAAAAAGAGAGACACACGCATTATATATATATATATATATATATATAAACATGGCTTCACACCCACCCCGATACCAAATAAAATATTTTGCAAAAACATGTGAAGACACCGAAGAGAGAGACGCAGGGCATTGTTTTTACATATATTTTGAATCTGTTTTAATCCGCTTGTAACTGAGTAATAATAATAATAGTAATGTTATATCTATACATATATATATATGTGTGTGTGTATGTGTGTGTGTATGTTAAATGGTTCCCCTGCCATTGTCCCCTCCCGGCTCCTCCCTTCTAAAAGAAAGTAATTTCTGTCCTTGGTTCAAATTTCTGTCCATGCCCAACTTAATGGCTGTTTGTGGGACATGGCTGTGCGCAAATTGGTTGCTGCAATGGCCTCCAAAATACATAGCAACCCTACTTTGCAGTAAATCCTTTGAAATGCTTTGAGATTTCTGTCTGACTTGAAAGGCATTGCATTAAATGCAAGGATTGTTATTATTATTCGGGATATAAATGTCATTTGTTAACTTGCTAATTTGTTTTGTAACCCTTCCAGGCCTTTTAGGATCTCCAAAAATAATGTCCTGTTTTATACAGCCTCCCCTCCAGCTATTCCTGACGTGGATGGTATCCATTTATTTCAGCTTCAGATACTCAGCAATTGAAATGCACATTTTTTTTAAAAAAATGAACAATACGAGCTTGCAAATTATCCTAAACGCACAATACTGCAGATGCTGAAAATCTGAAACAAAAACAGAAGGCGCTGGGAACACTCAGCAGATCAGGCAGCATCTATGGAGAAAGGAAAGTGAGACAACGTTTCGGGTCCACGACCCTTCGGTTCTGACGAAGGGTCATGGACCCGAAACATTGACCCATTTTCCTTTCTCCATAGATGCTGCCTGACCTGCTGAGTGTTCCCAGCGCCTTCTGTTTTTGTGTTGTAAACTATCCTACTTGCATTTGATACAACGCCTCAGGGATGGAGATGTGGAGGGAGCTGAGTAGGATCCGCTAAGGCTTCAGATAGCGCCAAAATGATGTGGTTAGGAACAGAATGGCAGAATCGAGTTGACCTGTCGTGGACTTGGTTGTCCGGGAAAATCCTCAGTACTCCCAAGACACAGACGATGACAGACCAGTCAGTTTAGTTCCTTGACAGCAACAAATTACATATGTATAGCGCCTTTCATGTCAGGAGCACGTCCCCAGGCACTAGACAGTCAGAGATCCACACCCAAGCTCGTGGTTGGGATCAGGAGGGGTGGAGGGTAGGGTAGGAGGGTTATTGAAGGCACGGTCGAAGAGGAGGATCTTGGGAAGGGTCTTGAAGGAGGCAAGGGAAGGGGCGAGGCGGAAGGACTGTGGGATAGAGTTCCAGAAGGTAGAGGGAAAGAGGCTGAAGGTCCAACACGAATGGTGGGGCGGGCAAGGCGGGGGACATGAAGCAGGCCAGAGCCCGCTGAGCGGAGGGAGTGGACAGATTGGTAGGGGGTCAGGAGGTCACAGAGGTAGGGAGAAGCAAGGCTTAGAGGGGAGAAGACCTTTCACTCAACTTCTGTTAACTGTTAATGATAAGCCTTGCAATTGATATAATGTCTGATCATTTTGTCGCGACGTCTCAAAGCGTGTAATCTTAGTGTGATCTTAGCTGAGTAAGACTGTGTTCTCAATGGCAAGTTGTACTTTTTAGCTCGTTAAACTCCAGTGTACACCCTGGGGTCCCCAAGCAACGGGTCTCGCCATTCTGTATGTGGAAAGTCTGGTTTCCATCCTCTTAGGTGTGGTTTCCGCATGTTGAGCTGACCAAAAACAACCTCGTAAAAAATAGATGCTGCATTTTGAACAGCAAACCCTCCCAGTCAGAATTATATCAGCTGTAATACATTTTTGAGAATGTGTGTAAGGCATGAAGTATAAAGGGGAGTTCTGACTGTACATGTAGCCATTATATCCTTTAGATTGTTTTCTATCCATAAATATTTTGAGCCTTTTTTTAAAAAAAAAGGACATTGCAGTGATAAACTCGTGACTGTTTAACTTGGCGATTCTGCTGTTTCTAGTGCAGGTATGGATTACTTGCAAGTGGTTTTAAAACTGATTAGGGTTTAGTTTAGCACATGACAGGACACCTTGTGTCATTTATATGATCATTTGGTCCTGCAGCGTATCTAATTCAATATCCTAGTATTCATGTTTAAATCCCTCCAACATTCTATCATCTGTATACTCTTTGGCAGTCCACACTCTCTCCTTTTCAAATGGCTCACCGTATTTGTGTGTCTGTCTGCACCCCACTCATTCCATTCTACCTTTCGGAAGCCGAGGCCAGGGATTCATCCTGCACACCACTACTATGGTTCCTTCCAATGCTAAGTACTCATCACTTGATCAGGTCTTTTAATACCTTAAATTGTTTCCACTTCTTGCTCGATATCGTCAACTGTAATAACAATAATCCTTGTATTTGATACAGCGCCTTATCACTTCTTTAAGACGTCTGAAAGGCATCACAGAATGTCCTGTAAAGTGTAATGACTGTGTTGTGTGAGCGAAACGAGGCAGACAATTATCTCAAATGCTGCAGTGTCTCAAAATAGACGTGAACAAATTATTATTATTTTCATTTTTTGTTAAGCAAAAAATTGCTAAGCTTTGAGACATTCTTTTGTGTGCATGTTGTAAGCAAAGGGATAGAGCTGAGTTAAATAGAGATGAAGGTGTGATGTTTAATGTTAATTTTTTTCTTATTCTAGCATTAAAAATAGTTGAACTCCTGTAAACAATGCTGAATACCTGTATATATTGCACTTTGTGTGCTTAATGTAGAGAATCAACTTACACATTAGAGCAACTTAAAATAATGAAAACCATAAAATGATAGTTTATAGGTTGAACTTTACTGGATTGGGTAAAGAACTTTGCACCGTTTAGAGCTTATATCAAACTAGTTCTACCAATTAAATGTGGAAGTTATGATTCACTAAACAAAGAGGAATTGCAAGGGGGGGGTTCTTTCACTCTCAAATAATTATTTGAATGTGTCTTCCTTATTTTTAAGTATCTTGTCTTTTGAATAAATTCTTAGTTAACGGAGTTGTCCATAGAGCATAGAAAAAATCATGACAGATTGAAGCAGTTGCACTCTGTTACATTAGGCTTTACCCATCAGAAAAGATACCTGTCTTGTTTTACTCTTGAGATTCCACTGAATTTATGTTAGGAAGTGTGCTGTTGATGTTCCATGAGGATTTCTCATCAAATGTCAGTAGAACATTTGATGTTCCTTCCACCCTCCAACTAATATTTTATTTCAAAAGAAAGGTTTCAAATACCTTTGAAATGAATATAAAGGTAAATATTTATGTTGAAAATATCAATCTTCCCACCTCCATAAAGCTCACTTGCCTTTTACTGGTAATTCTCTTTGCCAATCATTGTTTGTGAAAAAAAAANTTCCTTTTATTTTAAATCAATAAAAGCATAATGTGCTTTGGGAAAAGTTGAGATTCATATTAAGTGTAAGGCATAACTGCAAATTGTGTTATGTTAATTCAACATAATTTACTAAATTAACCTAAATCATTCTAAATATAACAAGGCTACCAGTTACAAATCGGTTTGATTCTTACTTTTCTGTAATTCTTGGTTTCATTTTTTAAAAAATGGATATGGTATTGCAGGGATGTTGATTAACTGTATATTATTCCGTTGTAATTATTTGATCACTCTTAGTTGCTAGTTTGCTCGATTGCTAATTGAGTAATAGACAAAAATGAATCGTGAGTAGATCAGAAAGGCCCAAGATTATGCCTTAGTATGCAGAATTAGCTAGATGGTGATAGTGAGTTGCATTCAGCATCTCTGTCTGAGGTCAGCCAGAGTTTTTACTCTAAATTCCTTCCAATAACCCTGCTGGAAAAGCATATATATGTGTACACCCTGCTGACATATGCTGTATAGGCCTGACTAAGGATGGTAAATGGTTTTGACAAAGTACCAAAGGACGACTGATGCTATGGACCTGCATGTTTTAACTTGCACTGTATTTATTGATCAGTGATACAATATTTCATGTTTTGCAGCTGTGTTATATGAAGAATCATGAACTTGGTTGCAATCCAAAGAGCTTGATACTCATTTTACGTCACAGGCCCCATGTGTTGCGAGGTGCAATATCGGTCAAATCAATGAACAGCGGCAGATTTGAGACAAAGTGAATTTAAGCGTTTCATGAGTGGTTGAGGATTACAGGCAGGTGGCAGATGACTTAAACAAACTACAGACAGTTACTCTACTGTTTTTACTGAAATGATCCAAACACCTTGATTACGTTAATTCCCTGTAATCCTTTCCAGTCACTGCGTTACACTCTGTTCTGAGGAATGTTTACAAGAAAGAGAAGAAGATTCAACTAGGGTCAAAAATTAGTTGCGAAGAGTAAATTACATTTATTTGAACTTGGATTCTCCGGTATTTTAGTACAGTTTAACTTGGCAGATTAATGTCAAATAATATTTGGATGGAAGGGTTCAAATGATATTTGTGTAGTTTATAAATGGATTCTGAACTCTTGCTATCGATTGTGCTTAATCTAGATTCCATTTGTCTTCCATTTCGTCTTTTTCTAAAATACATTCTAGTTACTATACAAAAACAATACAAAATTACATTTGTATAGAGCTTTTCACGTCAGGAGGATGTTCCAAGGCGATGGACTGACAGGGATTTGGACCCGGGGTGGGGGGTGGGGGGGGAGTTTGGGGTAAGGGAGGGTGGGAGGATGGCCGAAGGCACGGTTGAAGAAGAGGGTCTTGAGACAAATGATTTTGTTTCCTCCTCCACATTTTGCAGACTAAGTTCATTTCACTAGTGGGTGTCATCCCATCTATTTGCCCTGCAATGACACACTTGGGTATATGTTGTGCAACCTGTAATCCCATACGTATCTGATTCTGTTAAGCCATCTGTCATTTTTGCATACTGCAGAGTATGTGCCAGTTTGTGGATGTAACCAGCGTAAGAGCTTGGGTCAACCGACTGAACTGATAGGGAAGCGATTAACAGTGATGAGCAATAGGCGTGTGGTGTCATAAGTACAACAGTGCAAAGGTCATCTATGGGGCCTTTTTTTAAAAAAAACTGTACATGGCTCACACAAAATGGATACAAGAATATAGATTTTTTTTCTCTCCGTTTCTTCATCTTGTCTGCATAATGGCTTTGAGCCTGGAGGTTAGGTGGAGCACGTCAGACTGGGCAATTGCTTGGTAAAAGTAAAGTATTCCAAACTGCTGCACTACAATCTAAGGGCACACCGAAAGCGTGCAGATTGCAGATTTGAGAATCATTAGGCCGTGCACTCGCATCTTTTGACCTTTCGATTGTGAAAGAAGTGTACTTGTTTGTGCACCACTGATAGCCTATATTGGCCTGATGCTGTTAATGTGAGGGGAAATTGAATACTCTGCATCAGAGCTTCAGTTTTTTGACTGAAACAGTAACAGATCTGTATGCAGTAGGTTTGTTTCCACTGACCCGCTGAAAGTTTAATGTTCCAAAGGCTTGTGTTAGTTTGCTGGTTTCTGTGATATTTGAACCTACAGAAATAACTGATGTTACATGTTTAATTCTGTGTTCATGGCAATTTGCTGTTTTTTTAAAACTAAAGTGTTGTATGAACCTGTGTTGAGAAGCACCAAATTTGATGTGGAATTCAGGTGCAATTTACACTGCTGTGTGAAGTGCTGAGAATCAATAGCCCAAGAAAGTTCAACGTTTTGTTTTATAATAAGTCGTGCAGAAGACTTTGAATATAAGTTTACTACTTCGATAAGTTTACTAGCTCACTGAAGTAGTGTTTTCGCAGATTTGTTCTGAATTTATCCCCTTTTGATCGCAGGCCATGTCCTCTGGTTCTAGTGTTCTACAAGATAAAACCGCTCATCATGGTCTACATTATCTAGTCCCTTCAAGACCCTAATCGTATCACTCCACCTTCTCTGCTCCAGTGTGAACTTGCCCAGTTTACCTAATCGCTCCTCATAGTCCAGTCTCTCCAACTCCTCAATCATCTGGTTTGCCCTCCTCTGTATCCTCTCAATCGCTGCAATATCCTTCATATATTGCAATGGCCAGAACTGCATACAGTATTCCAAGTGCGGTCATACCACCAGTGATTTATAAAGTGGCAGGAATACCCCACTATTTCAGCCCAATGTTGCTCTTTTAATACAACCCAGCATCTGGTTTGCCTTACTCACTACTACCGAGCACTGTTGCAATAGCTGCAATTTATTGTCAGTCCGGACACCTAGGTCCTTCTCATTTTCCGTGCAGATTTTCTTTTCATTTAAAGAATACTCCCTTCCTGGATTTTTTGTCTCCATGTGAAGTACTTTGCGTTTCTCTACATTAAATTTTAATAAACTGATATTGACTATCTGTTATCATTTTATTACTATCCAGATGCTCCGTGATCTTATTTTTAACAAGAATCGCCATAACTTTACCCACAATGCATTCACTTTATTCCATTGAAAGGCTTTTCTACCACAACACTGTCTATTCAGTTTTCTTAAAGTATTTTTGCTTTTATACCAACAGTGTGGACAGTTCAGTGAAGATATGATACCAACTGTGGGATTTAACATGAGAAAAATAACCAAAGGAAATGTTACCATCAAGGTACAATGGTCACTTTATGAAAGTTGCAGTTTTTCTTTTAATGGGTTGAACCAAGACCATGTAATATGTTTAATGATGAATAACCGTGGAGTTATCCACAAAATAAAAACCCTGTTATATTTCTGTGTTTGTGTTTTTTGGGCGGGGGAGGGGATCTTTATTTTTCATGTCAATAAACTGAACTGGGAGGAGGGGGGCTGATTTGGTGAAGAAAAAAGTGGGTAATTCTATGAATATTACCAACAAATTATAGACTGAGAATATTCCCTGAAAGTTGTTCTGTGTGTACCTTTACTTCACTGAGATTACCTATGAGCATGTGATTTGCACCTCCATTGGCATTTTTGGTGGAAAAAAAGTACAACTTGAGAAAATAAAGGCAGTTGACATGAATATAACAAGGGATTCACATGGGTTAGGAGCAATACAACTTTATTCCTTTGTGTCAGCATTACTTTATAACAATGTATATTATATATTCATTGAGCCTTGTTAAACCATTATCTTTAGCTTTGGGATATCGGTGGACAGCCTCGATTTAGAAGCATGTGGGAGCGATATTGCAGGGGCGTCAGTGCCATTGTGTAAGTATTGCTCCTTGAGTTTCTTAGTTAAGAAACGATGATAGTCATTTTTCCAGTTGATGATTGTTCTTTAGGACAAAGAATTCAAGCAGCACAGCACAGGTGCCTAAAATAGCCTCCTTCGGCTCTTCGCAGATGGTTTCCACCCACTTCCAAGTATTTGAATTTTTGCCCAATACTCTACTAATCTCTCTTATTCGTCTAACAGTGCCTTTAAGGTGCTGAAACTGGGTATTAGAACTGATTTGAAAAATTCCATACTGGCTAGAATCTCGGTGTTTCATTGATTTTCGGACCCACGTCACTCAGTTGCTTTCTCATACCAATAATATAGCCAGAGAAGTCCGAAAAGGTCTTGTAAATCGTAAATTCTCTTTGCCGCATAAAATTTGTTCTGCGGTGACTGAATGAATATACATGACCCACATTTAGGTTGGCTGTAGTGTGGAGCTTGTTAATCATGCCTAGAGTTACAGGAAAATGTGTTGTCTTCCAATTTGACATAGGTCCAATTACTATCTCTTATCTTAACTACTGTAATTCAGGATTAGGAGGAATTTTTGATTTTAGGTGCAGCGAGCCAGTGCCACTTTAAACTGCTTTGACTAAAGAAAATAGCAGTCCGTTTTGTCCGATTCCAATTTAATACTATTTGGCGTTGATGCCTTCTTATCCTGCTGTAACCTGATTGAAAATGTATCGGGCTATCCATCCCAATAAACCACAGAACGTTCATAGAATCATAGTTACACAGCAAAGAAGGACGCCATTCGGCCCATTGTTTCTGTGCCAGGCCAGAGAGTGAAGGCACAATGTTCTTGTACCTTCACTCTCTGGTACCTCTCTGACTTCCTCACTCCCCAATCCTGCTCGACTGGCACTGGCATCCTAATCAGTATATACTCTGTGTATAATTTATGCAAACTGTATTTTAATGTAGCTATCTAAGTTATGCACGGACCTCTCGAGTTATATTAAAAAAAGTGTTTTGATTCAAAAATGCAAATATTCCTGTACTATTTTAATGACCACCATATTCTGTGCATTTTTTAGGTACATGGTGGATGCTGCAGACCACGAGAAGATTGAAGCTTCAAAGAATGAGCTGCATAATTTATTAGATAAACCACAGTTACAGGGCATCCCAGTAAGTCTCTTCCTTTTGAACTTCTAATAAAAGATGTGTAGAGTTTTGCTGAATATTTAAGAAAAAAAAAGAAAAATCTTCAAAGTGTTAAGCTGGTAAACTTGACCAGTTGCAATCGATTCTTGGGATTTTAATTCAGGGATTTGAAGTGGGATACATTGGGCAAATAATTCTATTGATTTTGAAACTTGGTAAATAATAATAATAATCCTTTAATTTGATATAGTGCCTTATTACTTTTACAAAGGAAAGGCGTCATAACTTCTAGGCTATATAAATTGTGCAGTACTTTTGGGGCTGAAGAAGCAAGTCATCATGCAGTTGCTAATCATAGTTTCCACCATGTGACATTGATGCAGACAAAAGATCAGTGTTGGTGGATATGTACAGCTAATGGATGCCTAGCTGTTCCTACAATTGTGTCATCTTGAATTTGAACTTGATCAGTGTTTTAGCCAATAATAGTGCGATGGCTGCTGACTTTGTGTAAGTATTCAGTTGATCTAGTCACTGATCTAGACTGACTCATTACCAATAAGATTCCATGTATAAGATAATGAGAACCATAGAACAATCAAAGCAATTTTACAGTTCAGAAAGTAAAGGGCACTTGAAAGATCATCTCTTTAACAATTTGTTTCATTATTATTTGAGATTTATGCACGGATTGGATGATGACATAGTCTGTGATGCACCGAGTTGTGCAAGGTGTGTGAAAGGAGAGAGTTTGCTCAGACCGATGGAATCAAATGGCCATTCCATGCTTCTATTAAGACCAACAAAACAGCATCACACTGCACTTGACAACCATTACTTGTGAAGTGCATTGAGAATAATAATAATAATACTTGCATTTGAGACAGCGCTTTTCACATCTTCTAGACGTCTCAAAGCACTTCACAGAATAGATTGTAAAGTGAATTGCCTGTATATTTGTGGGCAGCGGTCAATTTACAATGTGTTCGAGGTTGTTCTTTCCCTGCTGAAATGAGTGTAATCCCAGAATTACCAGTGGTCCTATATTACTAATAATTTTAACCAAGTCAACCATCATTCCTTGGAAAACTATCAAACCAACTATGATAAAGAAGCTAAAGCTATAATTTTCTTTCTTTCTCTTTCTGAGTCTTACTTTACTCTGTCTGTCTAGCTTTCTCTCTTTCTCACTGTTTCTCTCTTATCTCTTTCATCTGTTTCTTACTCTCACTAATTTATTTTTTCTGTCTCATGTACTGATTTTTCTCCCCATCTTTAACCCTATACTGGGTACTGCTAAATAAATGCTTGTCACTATGCTATGGGCAAACACAAGTCTAGATCTGCGTGTATGGCTGCAAGATTTCAAGCCCCATGATTTACCCATACAGTCTGATGTGGTTGATTGTCATGTGAATATACAGTATCTTGAGTCCTAAAGGCAGAAGTGCAGTTAGGTGTATTTGTTTCACATGGGTGTTAATGACAGCTTCAAAATTATGAGCTTGAAGAGTAGATATTTAGAAATAGGCAAAAATAGGCAACGAAATTGGTTAGAACGCTTATTTTCAACTCTTGACATTGGGGTTTGATTCTAGGCCGGAAGACCTTTACGTCAGTCTTCTTACCATAAGGATGCTGAGGGAAACTTGAGATGTCTAAGCTAAGTTTCCAGGGGCCACAAGTTCACAGTACAAGCCTATACTGATGCAGTTTTAAAATGTTTGTGAATATGATCACAGTCATCAACTTAACTACCTTCAAGGAACAAATGGTCTAAATGTAACTGCATGTCTGAGCAGGTTGGTTTGAGCAATGTGGAGGGAGTTTTGCGGTAGATGTATTTATGATACTACCTTGAGCATTTGATCCCGGTGATAACACCATGTTCCTTAGTACTGATCCAATATTGCTTTTTGTCACCGGCATGACATTTGTGCAGAAGGATTAAAATTAAAAACAAAATTGCCTTGGTTTAAATTGCGGCCTTCACATCTTTCTAAGGTACATCTCCCACCCATTGTTGTCTGTAGCTATAAAAGTAATAATACATGAAAATGACAAAAAGCTTCCCAAAATACACGTTGCTTCACTCTTGACAGATCTATAATTACTGTGCTTTGGCAATCAGAATTTTTACTGTAAAAAGTCTAGTTAATCCATAAACACTGCTGTAATTATTCATGCATCATTTCCCAAATAGCTTCTTTGACTACTCTGCTAGTATTAAATCATATTAATTATGAAAAATATATAGATATTTTATTCTAAACATTATTCAATTGAGGTTTGCTTGTGACTTCACCAGTGCTTGAAATTTAATACTTTTGTCCATTAAAAAGAACTGGATTAAACTTGCATTCATTACTGACTCTCTGTCAGAATTGTGCATATCCATATTTCATGTTTTAAATGGATTAACATTGGTATTCAATAAGCTTGGCATTGTTAACAGTTTAATGGAAAAATGCTTTGGATACATTCTTGGATCCCGTATCTGTTAATACAATATTACTATTTCTATAAACTCCTTGAAAGTAAGATTTTTCTGTACTAAATCTGTCATAATGCACGATATATAGTTATAGAGTACTTTCTCTGGAAGGCTGCTACTGAAACAGAATATTACCGTTCGGAATCTTTTCGTACTGTTACAAATCTTTTTATAACTTTGGCGGGTAAAAGCTAACCCCTCACGTTTTTATCTTGATAGTTTCTAATTTCATTTGAACTATCCGCTCCATGTAAGATCACTGGGGGAAATACACAAAGTATAATCAGAACATTGTATTGAATCAGAGGTAACTGCATCAGGCAGTTTGTTTTCAGACTATGTATGGAGCCATCTGCTGGCGAAACAGTACATATCTTCCAATAGCACTTTCTCCATTGAGTAACTGAAAATTGCATTACTCTTCCATTTTCTAGCTTTCATCCATTTTAGCTAGTAGGTAGCTTCCCCGGATTATCTGGTAACAAAACAAAATGCTATTGATCTCACCAGAGCAGTTAGTAAGAGACATTCTATTCGGTACCTGGAAATTAAACATTCTGAGAATTTACTATATACATTAAAGTAAATTGATTTTTGTGTATATATTAAGGGGAGGGAGAAGAGAAGAAGTATTTTCAGTTTAAATTTCTGACAGTAGGTAAGTTAAAGTAGTTTCAAAATTATTTAACCTCGTAGCAGAAGCATTTGATATAATTTCCCTCCTTTGCAAATTCCTGTCATTTGTGGTGTCTAAATTGCCCCAAAGCCCCAAGGACCTGCTGCAAGTAGTACAGTTTGGCAATCATTTTTGCATCTGGGAGATAGCTGAGGGTGAAAGGTAAATTGATTCCTTGCTGACTCTTAACCGTCGCATAACACAAAGTAGGATGCTGATCTACGTTGCTCCCTGTGGATTCACAAGGGCAACGTCTTGTTAAAAATAAATAAGGGAGAGGGAATCGTATTAAGTTGTAGATGTTTTGCTGTAGCGTAGTTATAATGGGTGAGGATACCTTTTTTCCAGAAGAAGTAACTCCATCATATCTTGCACATTCTTTTTTATTCTTTGTAATTATTCATTCGCAATTGTGTTTGATATCTTTGTTACTAGGTGGGGGCTGTCTCTGTATTAAAGGGGCTGTTTGGCAGCTGTGCTAACTAAACTCGCCCCCTTTCCCATGATTTGTAGAACACACCAGGTTTTAAAGGTTGCGTCAATGAGACTGGTTAAATATTTGACCACGTTCTAGATGTTGGGCTTATTACTCTCTATTGTATCACTTTAGGTACTAGTTCTTGGCAACAAGCGAGATTTGCCTGACGCGTTGGATGAAAAAGAACTTATTGAAAAAATGTGAGTGTTGTACTTGCAAACTTTCAGCCATTATCTTCCAACACAGAAAATGTTCCTGTGTATCTTTTAAAAAAAGACAATTGCAAATTAACTGTTTGGCCACAGTAGTGGCGTTCATTTCATACAGAATATTTCAGTTTTAAAAAAAATCATTTCACAAATCTTAAATTATACGGGAAATCTTTTTCACTTGCTTTTATTAATTTTATTATATACCTTTTCCCAGTTCTGTTGATAGACACCCTCTTGTTTTTATATATGTTCACTAGTTTCTTGTCCAGACTTTTACAATTGCTCTGATTAAGTAATCCTCTAGAAAAGAGGGGTATTCGAGAGCATGGGGAAAGCACAGGGAATTGGGATTAATGATGGCATCTTGGAAGAAGCAATGAAAAAATGAGCTGAATTGCCTTCTCCTATGTCGTACATTTCTATGGTTTTAATTAAGAGTTTCATTTTCAATTAAAAGGATACAGTAATTAAATTTAACCCAAATTCTATTTTGCTTGAAAAATCTAGTAATCTAAAAAATGAATGTTCCAAATGTACAAACTAATTAAAAGTCAAGTCTGCAGTTGAAAATAATACACATCTATGGTTGACTTTTTATTTCTGTTTGAGCCACCCTTCCAGCTGCCATCTCTCCTTGTCCCATTTTATTAAATTTGCATAACAGTAATTGCACTAATTATTGAAACTGGGGTGTTTTATACCTCTTAGGAGCTCATTATTTTAAACCTAAATTTATAACTTGGATGGTAAAGTTATGTACCCTTTTCATCAGCCTTTAGAAATGAAAATGTTTCACAGATCTGCAATCGAAACGTGTCTTGTTTTGCAAAGCAAAAAAAATAACATTTGGTTTATAATCCTAATAGTTCTGAAAGAAATTCTATACCCAAATGTCTATTCCACTTCTACATGGAAATGATGCTTCAGTCTCTGGGCGCCAGTATTTAAATATATTTCTTCTTCAATAAAACTATCTAAAAGATGTCTTTCTCAGAATTTTCATAATTTTATAAAGATTTAACTATGTATTTTGTACAAATAGTTGTTGGATTTTTTTTAACGCAAAGTTTAAATTTAAATTTTTCTGCTTGAAGCTGTGTTTTGCATTTGTTTGATCTGATGTATTTACCCCCGGGTATATTTTTTCCATGTAATTATTTTTATTGTTGTCATTTCTTACCGAGATTTTTTTTTAAATGTTGACTGTTTTTTGTTGAATTAGGAATCTTTCAGCAATCCAAGATCGAGAAATCTGTTGTTACTCCATCTCCTGCAAAGAAAAGGATAACATTGGTAAATATTTTGTCATCTGGTTGAACAGGGAATCAAGTGTATACTGTAAAGTAGATTGAGTGTGTATTTTGTGGATGAAACTATATGAATCTATAAACTATATAAATGCGAGTTGTTGAAGGTGGCGTAAATGCTGGCAATTAGTAGTTGGGCCATATGGGCTGTTTTCGGCTATAATCTATGTATGTAGTGCGGTTTTAAATTTGAAACCTTTTCTTTCAGATATAACACTACAGTGGCTCACTCAGCATTCAAAGACCAAACGAAGCTGAGAAAAAAGGATGTTGATTTCTTATTCATACCCAGGACCTGCTGTAGTTAATGCAGACCTCCCTTTCTCCCTCCCTGGAACAAAAGTCTAGAAAGCTATCTTAACACTGAGGTCAAATTAATGTTTTTATCATAAAGAGTGTTTGACATTGTTTTGCACTGTTGTTGTTTTTTTAAAAATATATATATATAAATAAGCAAAGTTACTAAATCTGACCTTGTGAAGCATAAAATGTTTACCACTGTCCGTTTAGAAAAAGGGGTTTTGTTTTTGTATAAATGGGGCCTTTTTTTATTTTTAATACGCATGCCTATAAAGCCCCATTGCACAATGGAACTCCTCATCCCAAGATGCCATAAGTTGCAGGAAGCACATTTACATCCCATTGCATCAACTCAGGCCAGCGTGAGGTAGCCCAATTGTGCATCTCGGCAAACCTACCTTTGTTTCATTATTGCACCTAACAAGCCTCCTTTTGGCCGGTTCAACTTGAAAAAAAATTGTGGATAGCCTTTTGTTGGTCACCGATTTTTTTTTTTAAAAAGAACATAAATGAATCAATGCAGATAATTTACAGAATAATTGAGATCCGAGTCCATTTTATCTTCAAGTATGACATATTTAAAATCTCAGATGAGGAGACTGTTGCTGGTAAAGGACGGAGGGGATAATACATGGTCACCCATGTAATCTGCCATATAAATATAGATATATATATTAAAAAGGTACTGAATGCCTTACTGATCCACTACAATAAAATAATCTTCATACCCTTCCAATAATAGTATTATTGACATAATCAAATACCTGGTGTCAATAACTTTATGTACTTAATGAAGATCTTTAGTTGCTTTGGAAATTAAGTTGCCAGCAATTTCTTGTACGAACATGACGGGAAGGTGTTAAAACAGTCCGAGTTCTTGTATGTATTATGTTACTTTACCCCTTAATTGTATTTATTGCCTTGAAATTTCCTCTGGTTCACCGATCCTGTACATATTGTATGATGGAGAGGCTTAGATTTGACTTGGCCAGATCATTTCCAGTCATGACAGAAAGGCAGACTGAGACCGTTTCTATCTTTATTATATTTAACAAATTATTCTCTATTCTTGCATTTGCTTGGCATGGAACATGAGCAATGTGACCTCATAAGAGTAGCACTCCCGCCAGTCCAGTGAAGAAGCCAGTACAGATTTCACTGATAATCTTGCCATGTACACATTATAAATTGTGTCTATGCTTCGTAGCTCCGAAATTATTTGATGAACTTTTTTTTGTACAGTAATTTTTTTTTAAAAATCCTCAGGATGGGGAAATGAGACAAACTACTGCTATCCACTTTTTATTTTTTTTCCTGCTTTTTAGCCTGCATGTTCTCTTGATGTATTTTAATACTTGCTGCTGTTTAATAGCACATCCCTATAGGTGCACATTGAAATATTTTTACTTTTGACAGGTATTATACCAGGTGATAAGCTTGTTTTTATTGTGACTTGCCTTTTAATAAGTTTACAATCTGTGTTTAATTGCAGTTTTGTACATACAGATTTAAACCAAATCGTTGAAATTTTTAAAAACTTACAAATGAATTTGTGATAAATATTGTATTAGATAGTAATTTGCTTCAATACAGGTACTTGGCTGTGAAAGCTTGTGGTTAGCGGTATTTGCTGCATTATCTGTCTATTATATGAGGAGAATGATGGACTAATAGCTTGTAGTATGTTTTTCTTTCTTGAACTGTGACGATTTTAAGTGAATCCTTTTTCCAGCAGTTTTAAGAAACCGGTAAATATTGAAGTTAATGCATAATGTGTCCTATAATAATAGCTTGTTGACCTGTACAGTCAACTTGTCAACTTGTCCTGCGGGTGATTAATGTACTGTTGCTCTTGTCATTTGATGAAGCTAGTGCTGTAATAAACGCATCCACACAAAGCTGCTTGGCTCCAGTAATCTCACTTTTTGAAATAGTATTTTGGGTCCGATATGCAAGATTTTGTTTGTTTTGTTTCTTTACTCTTCCACTTGGATTTCATAGAATTATGCAGCACAGAAGGAGGTCATTTGGCCCATTGTATCTGTGCCAGCTCTTTTAAAAGAGCTATCCAAAGCAATCCCACTCCCCTGCTCTCTCCCCATAGCTCTGCAAACTTGTCATTTTATTTTGTTATTTTATATTTACAGAGGTTTATATTCTTATATTTTCTGTAGATCTCTACCGTTTTGTAAAATGAAGTCTTGAAATGTTGTGCATGAAAATGGTTATAATTGTGTTTAATTACATATGCTTTTTTGACCTTGCAGAGTAGTATCTGCATTGTATCCCTTAGTAGGTATAACTAACCTACAAAAAGTATCTGATTAAGGCTTTTTCCTAGCACCTCATCACACCCAATCTAATGAGTATTTTACCAGGAAGCTTCCTTCCTCCTCAGGAGAATTTTTTTCACATATGTCACGGCAGCACCCAATAAGTAAGCAATGATTTTGAATTAAAATGGGATTTTGTTCCAATCTGCTACAGGAAGTTCACTCCCAGATTTTAAAGTCTACTCCTCTCCATTTGCACATATGTGTTGTGGACCCGAATAATCAGATTAGGTTACGACATAATTATTATGAGTTCGATTTTCATGTAATTTAGTTTTCCTTTTCGGTGCATTTGTTTTGCCTGAGAGGTTTGTTTATTTATCACAATTTTATATTCCGCAAATCTGATTTCTTAAACCACAATGTGAGCTCTTTTAGCTGAATGTACGTTTTCTTGTTGTTACCACCAATTTTATATTAACTGATAGATTTATTAATTCACTTTTTATTGCTTTGATTTTTAACTTTTATGTGTTGTTGAACATTGTGCTTTCTGTTCTCCTTCAGTCAAGGAACAAAGGACTTTTATTTTGTTTTGCTATAGGTAGCCTTTGGATATTCTGCTATTGGCAGTACACCAAGACTGAGATTTCCTTCTGGGAAAATCGTATATTTTCTCATTCATTGTATTAAAGGGAGTTCATTTGTTCACATTAGAAAGGATTGGGATCCAACTCATCGGAAGCCAATCTTTTTAGTCAGCCAACAAATTAAATTTTCTCGATTGGATAGTTCTTGATTTTCGGCATAAATCCATCAGGAAAAACCTACTGATCGGACACAGTTACCTGGATTAGTGTGAATGTTTGGTGGGGGGTGGGGCGGGGTCGCTTCCTGATGGTCCTATGGGCCATATCTGGCCTCCAGGCCCCTGAGTTGGCCACCACTGGTCCCTTGTGGCTTGGAATTCAAGATTCTTCGCCTTGAGTTCCAAGTTGTTCCATTGTTTTAAAGGTTCCTCGCAGTTGTCATACTTCGCCGGTTTCTAACACTTGTTTTCGAAGAAAGTTACCCATTTCTACAAAGTTTGCAGGATTCCTATCGTCTCTGAATTTATTTTTTTCAAATTATTCAAAAGGTCACCATGTTCAGCAATGGATCTGAATGCGTTAACATTGAGCATAGGAAAGAGGCCTCCATTGAATGTAATATGCAGTAATGAGCTTGCGGTGGACAGAGTTCAGAGCTCAAGGAGCATTTGTGTATTAATGATTATGATTTCATTGCATTTTATATTCAGATATACATGGAGCCAGAGGTGGAATGAATCACCCACATTTCAGTGAAGTTAATTGAAGCAGAGAGGTAGCTGTAAAAAAAAGTTTTAATTACTGCAGAGAAGGAAAAAAGAATACCATACTTTTAGTGTTTTTTCGCAAAGGTGCAAATTGCACTTGCACAATATGAAAGCCCTTCACATTTTGGATAGAGCAGTTAAAATAGCACAAAAGAAAAATACAAATGGTATAAAGGATTCAAGGAAACTGGAGATGGTGATACACTGAAAAGAATATTTGAATATATTGGGTAGGAACAGGCAATTGCAGTCGATCTAACCAGTTTTAAAGTAAAAAAAAATTGAATGACTGCCGAGGGGATCAAGGGTTACGGATATTGCCATTGAGAATGGCGTCTGCAGTACATCTGTACTAAACATGTATCGGCTGCTAAATTAACCTCCATTTAATTAACATATTCTTGAAATTTGTGGGCCTGGTTCCTTGACAGTCGCAGTAAGAAGATTATAGTCTGATAATAATCATAATAATTGATGCATTTGATATAGCACCTTATCACGTCGAGAGGTCTTACAGCGCTTCACAGAATATACTGTAAAGTGAATTGATTGTTTTGTGGGCGAAACGCGGCAGCCAATTGCGCACAGCAGTGTCCCACAAACAATTGTGGATTCAGTGACCAAATCATTTTTTTTTGGAGGGATTATTACCCCCAGAAAAGCGATCCGCCAATAGACTAACAACCTGGTTCTTACTTACTGCTAGGTAAACAGAGGCGTGTGGAGTAAGGAAACTTGACCAACATTTCGCCATGTTTACCTATTAATAAGTAGGAACCTGGTTGTTAGTCGATTGGTGGATCGCTTTTATGGGGTAATCATTTCTTCAATAAAATAATAATAATAAATAGGTCACTTCAATCCATGACCGTTTGTGGGGACGCTGCTATGAGCAATTGGCTGCTGCGTTTCGCCCACAAAATATACAGTTAATTCACATTACAGCACATTCTGTGAAGAGCTTTGAGACGTCTCGAAGATGGTATAAGGGGCTATATCAAATGCAAGGATTATTATTATTATCAGGTTTCGGTGACCAGGGGAGAAAAGACTTCTTCCACAGCTTTTTAAAAAAAAATCAACCTTTAGCCTGAAATAAAACCATGTTGAAAGAGTCTAGTTGTTTTGTTTAAAAAAAACACCAAAGAAAATGAAAAAGTCCTTGAATACTTCCATGTTTGTTTTAAAATATTTTTCCGATCTTTGATGCACTCAGTTTTGACGATATGAAAGCAGTTGCTGAAGGACTTGGACTATTGTAATCTGGACTGAATATTAAAAAGGTCACAAAGTACTTTCTATGCACTCTGCTTTCTGACATTTAGGTTGGAGCTGAATTAATTAGGGTACATCTTGAAAGAGTGAGACTATTTTACCATCTGTCACAATGTGAAGCACAATATTCTATTGATTTTCCCCATTGGTGACCATCAGCTTCAAATTTACTTCACGAAGAAATGCCTAAAAACGTATGAGCTCTGCATTTATTTCAAACAACCTGTTGCCCTCCCTTGTGTCCTGGATTAAGCGGTTGGTGTTTTTTTTTAGGTTTGTTTGGCAATATAAATTCAAAGCAATAGTCCTATAAATATCGCAATATGACAACAATAATAACCCTGACATTTGACATAGTGCCTGTTCACGTCGTTGAGACGTCTCAAAGCGCTTCACAGAATATATTGTCAAGTGAATTGACTGTATTCTGTGGGTGAAACTCGGCAGCAATTGCATACAGCAGTATCCCACAAACAGTCGTGAATTAAGTGACCTATTTTTATTGAGGGATTATCCCTGGAAAGCGAGGTTGTTGCTGGGTAAACATTGGGGTGTGGAGTAAGGAAATTCATCTAAGGTTTCGCCCCACCCAGAATCGAACCTGGGGTCTCTCGCTGGCAAGGCAAGTGAGCTAACCACTACCTCCAGGATAATTTTTGATGCACCAAAAGCCAAACGTTACCATTGATTGGCTGTTTTCCTTGCTTTCCTTTGGCTGTTTTTTTTCACTGACCTTTTTGTACAAACATTATCTATTTGCAATTCATCAGCACAAAAAAATCCGGTTACTAAAAAACAAGTTACAAGTTGTGGCAATGAAAATAATTGTTGTTGTACTTCATTTGCAGAATATATATTTGAAAATTCTCTGCAATCCCTCATTCTGTTTTAAGATCCGCCTGTGAATGCACGTGTAATCTATGACGTGGCTTTGTTTATTGGTCGATACTGTTAACTTAAGAAACTTTCTTATCGGTCTATGTGCAGAACACATTGGGGCAAAATGGTGTATCCGATGATTAATAATGTTTCTTGTCGAAAGTCAGTCTTTTCTCAATTTGGTTCCCCACCTTTTTAAATTGGATCATCGGGATTCTTGTTCCGTGGGATTTTTCTGAGATGAGAATCTGTCCATTTGCAGGGAAGCAAATGTCATGGGGTTTGTGCACAAAGATCTGTTGAGGGGAAAGGGTTAGCATTGATTTCTTGATTTTAAATAGCTCACCTTATCTATTATACATGATGATGTAAGGCGCAAGTTAAAATGAACGATGAAGAGCATTGCTAAGTGATGATTAATCTATACTTTGCAGTGACGTTATCCTTCAATTGAGAAACACAAGGCCAAACTAAAAGAAAATGTTTTTATTTTATGGAGCCTTGTATCAAGTCGTCTCAAAGTGTTACAGTAATTACTGCCAAGGTAAGGATAGAGATGTATTTTGTAGGCAGACAGGATGGCTATTTATTGGAGGTGCAGCAGTGTCTGACAGATAGCCAAACAGTGAATGACCAATTTATCTGGAGGATTGTTATCCTGGACACTGGCAGAATCGTTTTCAGACAGATCAGATCCTGTTGCCTGGATTTTTCAGGGGGTTTGTGTGTGAGGCAGTTTATTTATCAAAACGCTTCACCTGAATAATTACTATTGGTTAACACAAGCCTCCACTTCATCGAAAAAAAGCTATTGGACTGAAGGTTTTTTTCTTAATGAGAACAAAAGGTTGAGTAACCCAAGTTTTTTTTAAAAAATGCCCCCAAAAAAGTACTTTTGCATCAGTGTTTAAAACGTAATTGTTATTTGAGTGAAATGTATAGACACCGGCCTTCGATTTAATGCTGGAGAGGTACATAAAATTTTAACACACCGCCTGTTCACTTGGAGACATAAAAGAATGCATTAAAGTTTAATATCGCAGAAGCCTTCAAACGAAAAGGTCACTGCCTCAGTTGCTATTGGTAACTGGCAGTGGAATCACTAATACTGCCG